TAAGTCATGCACACAATAGAGATATATAGGTAATTTTTAAGGCATACATTTTGAAAAATATAAATAAGCATATACTAATGACAAGGTTAATATTTTCAACTAAAGCTGAATAGGATCAGTGAAGGATTTTGTATGGATCAGCTAAACTTTGTCAAGTACTTAACCTGGATTAGGGATAATTGAACAAATCCAATGCATGTCAGAAAGCATATCTACTGCTTAACTAGATTGATTGATTCCAGTGGGCCACTGATTTATTTTATTAATCAAATATATATATCAGCCACAAACGATTCGTGGCAGCTCACAAAGATAAATATGACATAACTGTAACAAAATAGTACATAAAAACATCCTATAATATAATTAATTCCCCAGAATAATACATGCTGTCAGACCACAAAAACCTATTTTCAGTCTGTTCATCCTTTATTATGGTCAGTTACAAAAATTTCACTTAAAATAAAAATGAAATATGCAAATTAAAATGACATATTCATAATGTCATTTTATAAAAAATATAGTTTTGCAAACAACAAAATTTAGCAACATTCAAAAAAACTAAATCATACTGGCTAATATCAACTGTCAGCTATACATAAAATAGATCTAAATGGCTCAGGTTTAATAAAACATATAAAATGCAGCTGTGTATCTTTATAAAACGGGCAATGCAACAATACTGTATATGGATTTTATTTTCAACAGTTACTTCCCTACAAGAACAGAATCTTAAATAGAAAGTGATTTTCGTAAACCTCCTTCTAAGGACAGTTGTTAAAAGTGTATTGTAACATACTGGGGTTTAGTGCTGTCCTAAATTTAGGGATGGAAATTTATCTTGTTGGTTTAAAAAAATATTGCTTTTAAAAATCCTCTAGGGATAACTGATATATATATAATTGATTTCTTCATGTTGCTTAAGGTTGACACAGCTTGTTTGTAATCCATCATCAGTAACGTATCTCATGAAAAGCTGTAACTGCAACATCCAATGAATTTAGTCTCCCAAGTTGATTCAAAATTATCAACCAGGATCAGAGTACCTATAGCATGCTGCAAAAAAACTGTGATTTCAACCACAAAGAAAATATGCACAACCTTTTACTAGTCTCCACTCTAATCACATCAGTTTCATGAAAGACCACATTAGCATACTTTATATCATTTGAAAAAATAGCCCTTAGAAATTGAAATTGTACTCTTTAATGGGGCAAAAAAGCTTTAGCAGTCTATATGGAAACCAAATAAAAGTTACACATGATCTTTTGCTGAAAATGCTTTAAGAAAGCTAATACAAATAATGTCCCTCTAGAGCAGGGATGGGGAACTATGGCCCTTTTATGACTTGTGGACTTCAACTTCCAGAATTCCTGAGCCACGGCATAATAAAAGTAATAAACAGAATAATAAAAAGATTGCAGACTAATGCCAATTGTGAGGCATTTTGAACAATATAATCCCAGTGAGCCCTATGATTACCAAGGAACTGAAACACTATTCACAGATATGTTCAGATTTTAACTTGTTCAATCAGATGTTCATTCAACTGTCAGGCATGGACTCTGGGATGTTTGACAAATACTAGGATCTTAATTTTAGAATTTATCTTTAGTATTTCTTTCTTATGGTTCATGGCAGAGCAAACACAACTCATTTCAAACCAATTGTATATGATAATGATAGTGCATCATTCAATGTGAATGTATCACAATGTGTTTATCAACCAGTTTCAGGGGATAGTATGCAGGGATATTTAACTTACAAAATTATTATGTAAGTTAAATAACAAAGGTGACAGGATACAGTCCTCTTATTGTTAAGAATAGATTTGGTGTAATGTTCTTGTTAGTTTATATCCAGCCTTTATAATGGAAGGACTTGCAGGATACTGTTATCATTAAGTATCTCAATAAAGTATATTCCCATTTTTCCTAATCTGGTTTACAATGAAGGTTGACAC